TTCTCTCTCATCTTTGATGTTTCTCTCGCTCCCTCTCCCTTCCTCTCTGAAATGAACAAAAATATATATTTTTAAAATAAAACAAAATGACACTGCAAGGCAATAAATAATTAAAGTTCTAATTCAGAAGTTAAGACCGAATAAGTCTGTCAAAAAATGCTAAGAACCAGATGATTTCCCTCATATTGTGGGATATAAAACTGAAATTCGTGGATACAGACAGCAGTGTGGTAGTTACCAGAAGGAAAGGATTGGAGGGGAAATAGGGACAAAGGGGACCTAACATATGAGGGAAAATGGTTTGACTTTGAGTGGTGGGCACACAATAATACAGATCTTGTATCATAGAAATGTATACTCGAAATCTATATGATCCTATTAGCCAATGCCACCCCAATAAAATTAATTTTTTTTAAAAGTTAAGACCATATATACTACAAAAGAGGATAGAATTGGTGGGGGCTAAAACGTGTGTGCACTACAAAGAAAGGTAAAATTGACTGGAGCTAAAATAGAGCAGAACAAAAATCTCTGGAAAGAGACAAAACTTGAGCACTCAGACACGAAAGAAGAGTAAAATTTAGCAGGGATATATAAAAAGAAAGGACATCCATAGCTAGAATAAACATAAAAAAGAAAAGACAGACCAGCAGCCTGCACAGAAGCATAAAAAAGTGATAGGAAAAGTGGGTTGGAGCAAGATTGAAATGAACCATGAACATCATATCAGGAATTTACTCTTAACCATTTAACAAATTTTAACTGAAGTAACTATTATGTGCCATGAACTGTATCCTTTGCTAAATGCAAAGGATACAAGTGTGAACAGACAGATAAGTTCTCTGCCCTCAGAGTGGTTAAAGTCTAGTAGATATATTCTATTAAAAAAAAAATATGATACCATGCTATGCTTCTGAGCAGAGGACGATGTGTTGAGAGAGAGATTCTGGGATAACTATGTAGCAGTAATATTGTGAAGATTAATAAAAAGAAACTTTGTTTAAATTGGAGTTCAGAGGGCCTGTGGGGCTCTACCCTATACACCCTACCACTTGTCATCAACTATCCCAAACAGGAAGAGACATACTTCCCATTTCAACAGGAAGATGTTTTTCTGCTCTACTACCCCAACAGGAAGAAGGACAATCTTCTCTTCACCCAGCAACCATTCAGCCAAAGAAAAGCCACTAACCTTCAAATACCCGGTTTCCTCCAATGGACTACTTGTTTATAGCAGCTCCTGAACTCCTCTTTTCTCTATAAAGAATGTTTGCTATTTGCAATTAAACAGCATACTGTTCCAGAGTAAAAACCATATATGTCTGTTTAAGGTCAATAGTATGTCCTTATTGGGGGATTGAGGGGGAAAGGGAGATAAGCAGGCCAAAAAACATAATATGCTAATTAAACCAGATGTCCTTCCAGAGGACCTTCCGGACCAAGCCGGGACTGTGAGTCTAAGCCCCTTGTACAAATTTCGTGCAGTGGGCCTCTAGTTGTAATAATAATCCAGGAGAGAAGTAGCAATGGATAATACTCAGTTATGCAATTGCTTCTTGAAAAATCTTAGATAAATCACTGCATTTCTCTGCATCCCTCTTCTCATTTGAGAATTTAAATTTGCCATCAGCAACAAACTTCAATTGGAAAATTTTACAAATACATCTAGGCGCTGTGTACCATATGCAAAGTAAATCTAAATACTAAGAGCAGCAACTTACTTTCATTTTTTTTAGCAACAACTTTGGAATTATGCTTGTGCTTTATCAGTTTAACCACTGTATCTCTAAACAAGCACTCTCTGAATAAGAATGGACAACAAGGTTAGACATAATAAAGAGTTAAATTAGAACTTATGAAGATCTATGCTACCTGCCTCTATTTCTCTGTGTGTAATCTACAGTCCCAAGAAAGGACAGAGAACTGGATACCAAGCTACTTACATCTGTTGGAAACAGAAAAAGAACAGTAGATAAGATACTTATTTCATTCTCCATTATGTCACAGAAAGCTATTTGTCTCCTAAACTTAACTTATTTATAGCTTTAAGGGCAAAGACTATGTTTTATTCATCTTTATGATCTAACAGTGCCTAGTACAGAGTTTTGTACACAATTGCTGAGAGTGGTGTTAAAAAGGAAAGGAGAGAGTCTGAGGTCCAAAGAATGAGTTAACCAGGTATAGGAGGGTCCAGACAGTTACAATATCCATCAACAAAACAGCCAATGGGGACATAAAAGTGAGTAAGATGATTTTCCTTTTTGAGGAGCTTGAAGCCTTGTGGGGGGGGAAAATTAGGAGAGAAAAATACACCAAGCATTTGGTATTTAACTACTAAAATTAATCATTAATGGCTACCTTTTACTGAATGTGTCAAACATTGTGCAAAGAACATTACAGACATTATCTCATTTAATCCTCACACCCCATGAGTCAGATATTATTATCCCTATTTTTCTAATGGGAAACTAAGAGTTGAAGCAAGGATAAATAACTTACTCAAGGTAATAAAATTAGCAGAGAGGCTATGGTTCAAACCAACATCTAATTCCAAAGTCAGCCCACCAGGAACCAGGGTTACAGCACTGACAGAGTAGGAAGTAATCAAGTATATATTATATATAGAAATGGAGCCAATTAGATTTGCTGAAAGATGAAGAGCAGTGTTTAAATTAAAGAGGTATTATAACATCTATACATGAATGACTAACTGGATGCGATCCAATGCATCCAATGTAACTCTCCTTTTAGCCCCTATTTTCCTTCTCCAGATGCAACCAGTGGAGTTTCTTTATGAGCTTCCAGAACCAACTCACGCATATGAAAGCACCCAAGCTCACTCTCCCATTTTTTTTTTAAATAATTTGAGACTCAACAAATGCTAAGAACCAAATGATTTCACTCATATTGTGGGATATAAGAGCAGAGACTTCCTATATGCCCTTTTTCCAGCTTCTCTTAAATGTTAATATCTCACATAGCTGTAGTACAATTATCAAAACCAATACATTAAGATTGAGGCAAAACTAGAAATGACATTTTGCAAATTTCAAGCAATTACAAAATAGAGCTGCCATAAATATTCTTGCACATGTCTATTGATGCTTCTGTATGGCAGGGGTCCCCAAGACAATTCTCTGGCTCAAAGATTCACCATGGAAGGACTCAAAGGGCTCATAAAAGCTGTACACTCATGTATATGCTTATTATAGCAGACGGACACACACTGAAATAGCGGAGAAAAGAATAAGCGAAGTCCAGGAAAAATCGGGCACAACCTTCCAGGTTCATCCCCCAGTGGAGTTGCAAGGACGTACTTAATTCTCCCAGCAATGATGTGTGACAACACAAGTGAAGTGATGTCAACCAGGAAAGCTTGCCCAAGCCCTGGTGTCCATGGTTTTTATTGGGGTGGGAGCATTCAGAAGCACACAGGACCTGCATCACTGACCTCAGCTATTTGGATTCCAGTCCCCAGAGTAACATAGGTGCTCACCATAAATCACATGTTTTGCATAAACTATCTAATACAGCTGGTTCTATGTAGTCCAGGGCCTCAGGCACACAAAAACACACTTATTAGGCAGAATATCCCAGTGGCTGAGTTCATCTCCCAGGAGCCAGTAGTGGACAGTCTTGAAAACAGGCCTTTCTTCAGAATATGCTGGTTTTAGCACCCCAAGCTAGCTGAGCTAGTCCTTTCCTATAAAACCTGTGAAAGCATTTCTGGACTACTTTGTTCATTTTAATATTGACACAATATTCTGTTATATGGATGTACCACCACTAATTTATCCAATCACCTACTCATTAACTTTTAAGTTATTTCTACCTTTTTGCTCTAGTCAATAAAAAAGCAGTTTTATAAATTATAAAGAGCAACAAAAAATAAAGATATAATTTTTCTAGAAGTATTATCACTGAAAGATGAATTAATTACTGTGTGACTTTCAGTTACCTGAATAAATAAAGGGTAGCTTTAAAAATAATCTGAGTTTAAATGTAAGTGAATAAATAAAATGCACTGAAGAAAAAAATTTGAAAGATTTTTCTTACCTCCTATAGTGTTTGCTGTACATAATGAATATGAAATTATTACAATAAACCAAAAATTACACAATTTCTGGAAAATCATACAATAGCATTACACAACAGCAAAATATAACTCTAGAGTTTTGAAGGGTCATTTACATATATCTAGAGTCTAGGATTCCTATTTTACAATCAGAGAAAGTTCATTAGACTTTCATAGAAATGCAAGCCCTGAACTTTTGCTTGTGATAAGAACAAAAGTCAAAAGTTGAAACATACATTCTTTTCCCCCTATCTCACAAGTCATAAGCATAAACACTCTTGGTACAAATTCTTTATGTTAAAACGATCCAAGATTTTAATTTTCCAAACACAAATCTAAAAATAATAAAATCATAACTAATGTTATCTCAATTTAAGAAATTTCTTATCTTCTGTGGAGATAATGCCTAGCTAAGACTGAAAAGCCTTATAATCCTAAATGTTGGTGAGGCTGAAGAAGCAGGACTCTCCCACACACTGGTAACGGGAATATAACTCAGCAAATACTTGCATCTTGTAGCTCACCTACTGCAAACCCTTGCAATATATTCTCATCTTCAGATTTCCTCATCACAATTCCCACCACTGAAAGTCATGCCAACAGCAATGGCTGATCACTTTGTAACTTTTGTAAATATCTAATCACTATGTTGTACACTTGAGACTAGTATAATATGTATGTCAATAAATAAATAAATCTGTACTGGGCTCAAACTATAAAAAGGAAGAAATAATCTCAATAGAAGGATAAATTTAATAAGATGGTGACATTTACTCTAGCTATTACACTATGCTACCTTTAGAAAGTCCTTTGTTTTACATTTCCTTCTAATTATAGTAATTGATATTATGTCAGTGAACTTTAATAATAATAATAATAATAATAATAAAAGAATGATAAAGAAAAAAGAGAAATAAAAACTTACTGGGATTGAAAATTCCTCAGCCAGATATTTCAAGGAGGCTGCTTCTCTTGCTAAGAACTTGTTCCTTTCTCTCATGTTGTCCTGAAGTTGTGTATCAAACTCCTTTCTGACCACAGAAGCAACGGAGTCAATAATCACAAGTTTAACTCCTTTCGAAATAATTTCTTCTTCTAAGGATTCAATCCTGTAAAAGAATTTGAAAAATAGTAGAAAAGTTTAAGACATACTTTTAAAAAGTAGGGCATTGCAAAGGTTAGCCAACTTAAAAACAAATTGTTCTTTCCTAAGTTATAGTGATGATCGCAAGTATTCAATAAACATAACTTATTTTTGTATATCTCTTCCATACATATGGTATGCTTTTGGAAATAAACCAAAATGGTTTCATTCCTTAGCCTTTGATAATGCTAAAGCTCCAATCTTAAGGTGAAATTACTTGTGGTAACCAGTCTCCAAAATAGCCCAGAATTCATATCCTACAGAGTCTCTCCCACCTTATACTAGGGTTGGTATGACAAAACGATGGTTTGGCATTTCTGAGAATAGGTTATAAAAGACTAGAGCTTTCACCTTGGATTCTCTCTCACCTATCTGCTCTCTCAGATCACTCACTCTGGGGGAGGCTAGTTGCTGTGTTGTAAACAGCCCTATGGAGAGGCCCATGGGGTGAGGAACAGAGGCCTATAGCTAACATCAAGGAAGGAAGGAAGGCCTTCACCTTGGAATTTTCAAGGTTCTCCAATCCCAAATGAGCCTTAAGCTGCTAAACTTTGGGATAATTTGTTAATGAAACAATAAATAATTAATACACCACTTATGTATTTAAATATAAAACATTTAATTGTGTTTTTTCATTTAAAAAAATACTTTAATTAATAGGCCACAGTGAATAAAGAATATGAAAATAATTTTATTGCTCATAAACCTAATATGTAGGGATTTTTTTCACTCAGAAACTAAAAACAAAAACAAAAATTTTCAAAGTGTTACTAAAATACTGAATTTGAAACCAGCATACCTTTGTTGAACCTCATCACAGCTAAGTTCCCGATAAAGATGAATTTTACTGCTTGTCAAAAGTAATTTTTCTTCAGTATCAAAATATCTGGGAAAACGAGATTCTGCTATCTCAATCAGTCTATGGGGGGAAAACAGAATAAGTGAAAATAATCAATGATATTTAAGGCCACATTGCTGAACCTCTAATGAATTTTACTTAGGGAACTCATAAGCCACAAGGAACACTGGAAGGGAAGCCTCATCAATAAAGCAGGTACAAGTCTGAAATGTAAGCCCTCCTTTATAAACACTAAGAGCACTTAGCAGAAGGAACATGAGACCAGCAAGGGCTTTTAATTTGCATCTAATACCTCACAGATTTATCTTTCTGGGAATGAATATGTTTTTTAATAAATTATATTCTGACCAGTAGCTATAACATATGCTTAATAAATAAGAAAAATGCATTTTCATGAATGAAATATATTTGAACAACTATATTATCATTCAAATATCAATAGGTCTCCATGTCACAGATCTAAAAGATATGTTTTGTTCATTAAAACTTAATACATACAAAATAAATGTGCCCTGGCCAGTTTGGCTCAGTGGCTGGAGCATGGATGGGCCTGTGAACCAAAAGTTCGCAGGTTCAATTTCCAGTCAAGGGCATGTACCTCCATTCAGGTTTGATCCCTGAGCCCAGTTGGGGCTCATGCTGGAGACAACCAATCAATGTGTCTCTCTCATATCAATATTTCTCTCTTTCTCTTTGTCTCTCTCTCTCACCTCCTGCCCTTCCACTCTCTCTAAAATCAATGGGGAAAACTTATCTTCAGGTGAGGATTACAAAAACAAACAAACAAACAAACAAAAAATGCTATCCAATAAGTCCTTGGTAGACAGAAAATTACTTTCTTCACGAATAAATGTTATAAATAAAAAATGATATTCTAAACACTGAATGCTGACCTCAAAGCTAGTTCTAATGCATGGGGCAGGCCAAGACTGACAATTAAAAAGATGCAACTACCACCATTAATAGTACAAGACATGGAGAGCAGCACCAGAAATTTCTGATTAAAAATGTAAAACTTAGAGTATAATAGTCTCCTTTTTAGAATGATACTTTATCAGCCCCATACTGCACTATCATCCAAGGTTAACCGGGAAGAAGGCCTGAAAACACAAAAATGAACCTATATTTTATGTTCCTTTTAAAGACACAAAGTACAAGAGGACAGTTTTTTTTTTTTTCCTTAGACAGTTAATGAGTTCCAAGAAGAGGCTGAGAACTTTAAATAGATAAACAAAATAAGTTCCTCACATATGCTATAATCAGAAATGAAAGAGAAAAATCTAAAACAGGAAGAAAGAAACATTAAAGAAATCTAGTCAATAACATTTTAAAGCATATTTTGAACAATGTGGAAAAAAAAAACATTACGTTGAACAAGGAAGAAGAAAAATAATTTTAGGAGTAAGGAATAGTACTAAAAGATGTGTAAAGAGTGAGAACAAAATGGATCAAATGACCATTCAAGAGAAGTTCCTAAGAAATAAATAGGAATTGGGAAATTAAAAAAAAATAATAATAAGGTAAGTGGTAAAAGCAAGAAGAAATAAGAGGGCATTAGAACAGGTATGTCTTGAGGGTTTAGGAAATGTGTAAATATTTTTATTAGGACAATTATTTATTGAATTTAGTGCTAGTCAGAGAAATCAGCTATAAAGCTCTGGTACTTGGAACCCACTGAATTTTAACAGAATAGAAATGACAACATCCATCTGAAACATAGAAGTTTTTCAAAATTCAGATGCCCAGCTGATTGGGAACCAGACTGACAGTACCTAACTCATTGGCAACGAGTGAACAGCTGGAAGACAGTAATTCTCTGCCTCCAACACTAGACTGGATTTCAACTAATGGCTTAAGTAGTGAAAGGCTCTGGAACTCATTATTGTTCCTTCCTGCCATTAATATCCCTCAGAAGGAAGGTAGCCATGGCATGGACATGAGCTAACTTTATTCATAATTATCCTCTCTTCTTTCCCTGATGCTTTGCTGGAGAGTGGGGTTAAGGGGAATATCACTAACACCATGAAATATAGAACCCACAGTTCTTGCTAATGATAAAATTTCCTTCTGGACATTCAATTTATTGGGTATTCCATTACTGGGCAATGGGGGTATTTTCTTTCTTTCCATCCTAAAAAAATGCACAATTTATCTAGTTTAGTAGGAAATAAACTAAAAGAGCCTTACTGACTTTAACAACCACTGGAGATGGCAGGAGGGAAATAAAATCATACCGGGTTTTTGCCAGAAGGTTTAAGTGGGATGGTGGTTGTGCCTTTAAGGTAAAGCTTAATGAGATTAGACTAACTTAGGGTCAATAAACCTGAAAAACTTAGGAACTGTGTACAGAGATAAAAATAATAACCATAGTTATCAGACTAAACAATTGTATCAAATGGTTATTTGCATACCAGTATGCTATGATTTTCTTTAAGTTTCTCTAAGTGATTTTTTTAATTTTAGAAAAGATTTCCAAAAATACATAAATCAAAACCCAAATATAAATGCAATATTCTATATGCCTACGTTAATCAGAGCAATCTCTCATGACAAACTTCATAACAAAGATCTGTTTTGTATGGAGCAAGCAACAGAAAAGAACCCATATTTTGCTCCATACATTAATTACATTAAGTTTGAAAACAATGCCATCTAATGGACATCTTTCAAAGAATGCACTTAAGATTCATTCATTCAGCCATGGCTGGTTTGGCTCAGTAGATAGAGAATTAGCCTCCAGACTGAAGGGTCCCAGGTTCGATTCCAGCCAAGGGCACATGCCTGGGTTGTGGGCTCAATCCCCAGTAGAGGGCATGCAGGAGGCAGTGATCAATGATTCTCTCTCATCATTGATGTTTCTATCTCTCTATCCCTCGCCCTTCCTCTCTAAAATCAATATATTTTTTAAAAGATTCATTCATTCAACAAATATTTATTGAGGACTTACTATATGCCAGGCACTGTTCTAGTGCTAAGGATATGGCAATGAACAAAAACAAAACAAAAAATCCTTCCCTCATGGAACTTACATTCTATAATACTGAGAGAAACAAAGAAATATAGTATAAAATACATCAGATAATAAATGCTCTACAGAAAACTGTACCAGTTTTAAGAGGACAGGCTGTGAGAGATGGAAGGAAGCAAGTGACATTTTATGTAAAGTGGTCTGGGAAAACATCTTTAATAAGGTGACATTTGAGCAAAGGCTTAAGGGAGACAAAAAAAAAAAATGAACCACATGGCGACCAGTGGAACAGTGCATAGGAAGAGAGAATGATAAGTGCAAAAGCCCAGTGTAAGAAGATGCCTGGAGCATTTGAAAATAACAAGGAGGCTAACGTAGCTAAAGCACAGAAAGCAAGAGAGAGGAATAAGAAGAAATAAGGTCAGAGGGCTAGTCAGGGAGCAAAACACACAAGATCTTTGGGTCTGTGGGTTTTGTTTGGATTTTATTTAGTGAAAGCCCAGGAGCAGGACGGACATAGCCTGACTTCTTTTCTTTTTAAAGAGGCGCTCTAAATACCAAATGAAGGAGAGGCTGTAGATGGGCCGGGATGCAAGTAAGATCAGCAAGTGCAGTCGTCCAGATGGGGTCTTCAACTAGAGACTAGCTTACGTGATTAGAAGTAACTGAAGCCAAGATCTAGTTCAAGAGAGAAGCTGAGTTTATTTCTGGACTAACTGGTCAGCATCTGGATGAATGGAATTAACCACTTACTGAAGTGGAGAACAATGGATTCCAATCAAGGTTTTTGTTATTAGCTCCGTTACTTCACAGCTCTTGTATAAATGGAAAGTTAAAAGCTTTAGCCCTAGCCAGTTTGGTTCAGTGGATAGATCATTGGTCTGCAGGCTAACGGGTCCCACACTCAATTCCGGTCAAGGAGGCACACACCTGTTACAGGCTCCTCCCTAGCACAGGCCCTGGTCGTGGTACAAACCAATAGATGTGTTTCTCTCACATTGATATTTCTCTCTATCTTTCCCTTTCTCTTCCACTTTTTCTAAAAATCAATGAAAAAATATCCTCGGGTGAGGATTAAAAAAATAATAAAAATAACTTTTAAAGTTTTATATTAGTGACCACATGCCAATTTGAAATAAAACATATTCTTAATGTTTTTTTAAAAGTCCTTTTATTGTGCTAAAATACAAGTTCATGGTTTTTCAAAGCTTCTTGTACATATGTAATATTTTCCTGTTTATTAATTTAATATGTACTTGCTCAGCATTGTGAGATTACTAAACATAATCATGTGAATCTATTAGTACCTTACAAATTCCAGCAGATTCCAAAGTTCTGTTTTAGTAATAGTAAGTACATAAAACTAATTTCCATCTTCTATCCTAGAAACTCTTCAAGATCTCCCTTCCTACTAATTCTCCTAAATTCACAAATGATAAGGCAGCTGAAGTTGGACTAGGGAGAACCTAGCCAGACTCATGAAACCATCTTTAAAAAAATGGTAAGGTAATTTATCTCCCCTATTTACCTCTGACTCAAAGATTCTGAATTTGTACCAACTAGCAAATAAGTGACTAAGACCACACTAGTACTGCCTTCAAAATCAGCCAAATGGCTGGCCACTACCCCTCTATGCCTTTCTCTAGATACACTGAATCAGAAAGAGGGACACTTTACATAGTCTGGCAGGAATTAAAAGGGACTGGCTTGCCCAGCCCATGTGGCTTAATGGTTGAGCATCATCAGCCTATGAACCAGAAGGTCTCAGTTCGATTCCTGGTCAGGGCACATGCTGGGGTTATGGGTTCAATCCCCTGTGAGTGGTGGGCAGGAGGCAGTCAATCAATAATTCTCTCTCATTGGTGTTTCTATCTCTCCCTCTCCATTCCTCTCTGAAATCAATGAAGATATATTGTTAAATAAATAAATAATAAAGGCACTGGCTTTGGGGTACCTGACACCCTCAGAAGTGACATACATACTAAGTACAGCAACTCCTTCAGGCCTAAGTATAGCCATGGCTTCCACACAGTACCAATACAACACAGACCTCTTCTGTATATACTTAGTTATGACTTATAATTTTACATTTTGTGATTATTTTATTGGCTTCTTCCCCTTTTGGACTACATCTTCTTCCTAGTTTTCAAAGCTTTTCTGATTTCATGACAACTCAAGAATGTCTACTTCTACTTTATAATATTCCGATTCTATATCCTACCTCCCCATGTTCCCTTCCAGGGTCCTGGTTCCCATCTCTTCCTTTCCCATTTCCCTTAGTGTTCCTCACATGTCTGTCTGTAGTACTAAGACTCAGCTTTTAAAAATATGTTTCTTAAATTGATTTTAGAGAGAGGAAGGGAGGGGGAGAGAGAGAAAAATCTATGGGCTGCATCTTTACTGATGTTCAAGCCCACAACTCAGACCGGAATCCACACAGACCTGGCTAAAATATACAGTGAAACCTCATTTCTCAAACATCTCCCATCTTGAACTATTCGTTCTCAACTAAATTGTCCACCAAAACTTCTCGGTTGTCAACCAAAACTTCAGTTTTCAACCTGACAACTCTTTCATGCTGATACTTCAGGAACAAAACAAATTGCTGACAACCCTGTAGTAAACACAAAGAATAGATACCCAAGAGATGTAAACAAAGCAAATAAACTCTAATCAAAATAATCCATTCAGAACATATCTGGTGAGGAAATATGCTTTGATTTAAATAGTTTTCCTTGAGAGCAATAAGGAAGAGATCTGATTCACAATAACATAGTGAAAGAAAGACTCACTATACCTATCTATAATATAACTTGACCAAGAGAACATAATAGAATCAATCTCCAGATGTACAAGCACTCCTGCTTATGACTATCAACTAGAGCATGGAAAGATGAGGACCAGAATTATTTTCAGGTGTGTAGAAATACACACATGACTAAATGCCTCTCTCATTGAATGTTAGCGGTCCTTTCCAAACTAAGTAAATATTTTCTTTCCAAACAGATACCCTTACTATCAGTGTGTTTCTTACAGTGATTGCCATACTATTTCAAAGGCTAAAGTGAAATACTTAGCAATCAAAAAGATGTTTTAAAATTTTCAATTTTTCCATTCACTAATATTTTACTTCTAACTAGAAATTATAATAGTTACAAAGCAGCTTACCTCTGTCTTTCTTATTAATTTCCCCTCTTCCCCATTTTCCACTTACATTTCTCTCTCTTCCTGAACTTCTTTCTTCCTGACTTTTTACAAAACACACCTTATCCCAGAATCCTACTTAAACCAATAAAAGGATAGAAAAGGTAAAAGGAAACTGCTCCACCAATGGTAAAAGGACAATTTCCTTAAAACAGTATCTAAATTCTGTGTTCTCAAAAAAAAAGAAAGAAGAAAGAAAATGTCAACTTGTTTGAAAATGTTATATGCTAATATATGTTACAAAACTGAGTATTATAATGGAAAACAATAAAATCTCCTACCTTTCAGCACTAAATGCTGATTCTGTGTCAATGTACACAACAGCTCCTTCTAATCCTCCCATGTTGATGGGTAATGTGGCCAAAACACTCATCATTATACAAAATTGCGTTTTCCCACAACCTGGTGGACCTGTAATCTAAAAAAAAAACAAAAAACACAATCTGTAATCACAAGCAAACTCCTTTAAGAACTTCCCACAAACATAGTACAACTAATCTGGGTTTACAGAGAAGTCCACTGTATATAATGAATCAACTTTTTCCCAATGCATCTGGACTGGTCCTCCTATAGTTTGGATCTTGACTCTGAATTCTTTCTTAGCCAGAACTCAAATACCAAGATCTGGTCTGACTCCACGGGTCCAACACCTGGTGCTGTCTTGTTGCCAACAGCTGCTTAGGTCTTTTCACTCTCATAAAAGCATTAATACTTTCAGTGGAGGAATGATAATAATGGAAATAAATGAAATTATATTATCTATACTAAAAGTGTAGTATGCTAATTAGACCGGACATCCTTCCAGACAACCTTTCGGACAAAGCCAGGGCTGTGAGGGAATGCCTGCCAGCAGTTGGAGGGAAGCCTGGGTCTCGGGTGCCAGAGGGAAGACAGTGCAAGCAACTGGGGGAAGGAAGGCCTACTCTGCACAATTTCATGCATCAGGCCTCTTTTTTTAAATATTGACTTAAATATTTTATAATTCAGTTATTAAAATGTCAGGACCTACATTCTGCTTATTTCAGTACTTAAATGTAATGGATGTATAGTAAGGAAGGGCTTGATTGCAAATATGCAAGGACTGAAATTAAAGTAATATGTCATTTCTTTACTTACTAAGTCAATATTTTTATTTTTCAATAAATTCCATCAGTTAGTTCTTGTTGAATTTGGCTAATAAATGTCTGTCTTCCCTCCTATCAATGTTCTTACAAAGTAATCAAAAGATGTTGCATTTTTAACAATTGGTTTAGAAATCAACTGAAACTATTTGGAAGATTTTAAACAGTATAAAAAATATTGTCTTAAGTTTTTTAGTGTGCAGATGGCAAAGTTTTCATTAGACACACATATCTCTGACAACAAAAATCACATTACAAAAGAAACATTTCCAAGCAATGACTTAAAAAACAGTCTCTCTATCTTTAAAAAGGCGATTACTATCTCACTTATTGTTGAAACATCACTTTTACTTTGAAGGAACAGAGTAAGAGTGTTCCATTGGTTGGTTGTCGGTCGGTTGGTTGGTTTTTAATCTGCTATGAAGCATGTAACGTAGCCACTGGTCATAAGAAAAGGTCAGCCAGTTTGACATATCATCTTTTCATTAAAAAAATTTTTTCCATCTTTAAATTCAACAACTCTTTTACAATCTTTGCTGGGAGATAACTAAAGAAGCTCTCATAATTCAAATGAACTTCCTGGTCACTCCCCACCTCATTACAGAGTACTATAGAAAGTCCATGCTTTACCAGTCAGATTCATATAAAATTAGCAACACTGATATCATTTTTGAGCACTTGTCACACATCAGACATCCAGATAAAAGTTAAATTTTGTTATTTTTCAGGTTTACTTAGTAGGTTAAAACATTTCAACATTAATAATTTTTAGCTTCAGATAGTTTAGCTCCAAATCCTAGCAGCCAAACCACAAAATTTCAAGTTGTGTTCTGTTCCCAGGTTCAGCTCCAATGTGGTTAGAGAGAGAGAACATGCCAAACCAGAATAGTCTAAGTTATTTGCTTCTTGGAAACTCAGAATGAATACGTTTACACACAGAAGACACCAGTAAAATACAATTAGCTTCAGATAGTGAGAGCCTGCATTTCAACCTGCCTGAGAAATGTAAAAGAACTGAGAGGAAAGAAGACCATCAAATACCAAATGCAAAGTATTAACAATTGGTTTAATAGTTGATTTATTCATTGGTTTAAAGAGGAAAGAGAATTATTCCCAAGAAGTCTAATTGTACTAAAGTAAAAATGAAGCCTCGTCATTTTAATCTTAACTGAGATTAAACGGTTGAGATGAACATGAAGCCCAGACCTGTTAGGACCTAAACTCTTAACCATGTTCGTTCTTCCCCCATTCAAGATAGGGGCAGTCTAAAGCCCAATACTTTACAGAAGACAATTTAAGGATTGCCTGGTTCTGATTTGAGAAAAAAAGCATATGGAAATTTCTTTTTTAATGACCACCTCCAAATCCCCAGCATCTAACTATTTGTCTCCATTTGCTCTACAATTTTGTAGAAATGTGATTAGGTCTTCAGACCTATAGAATTCATTTTAAAAATAACAAACTCTCGCCGAGACCGGTTTGGCTCAATGGATAGAGCGTCAGCTTGGGGACTGAAGGGTCCCGGGTTCGATTCCGGTCAAGGGCATGTACCTTGGTTGCGGGCATATCCCCAGTAGGGGGTGCGCAAGAGGCAACTGATCGATGACACTCTCTCATCGATGTTTCTAACTCTCTATCTCTCTCCCTTCCTCTCTGTACAAAATCAATAAAATATATTTTAAAATAAAAAATAAATAAAAATAACAAACTCTCAGGAGAAACCAAGATGGTGGCATAGGTAAACGCCTAACTGCAGCCTCACACAACAATTTCAAGAAATACAACTAAAATATAAAGTGGACATTATCCGGAACTACAGGAAAGTTGACTGACTGAAAATTCTACAATGAGAAGGAAAGAGAAAACCAGAAGGAAAATCAGAGGAGCTGTAAAAGCCTAAGGTACAAAGTCACGTTGCATGCGCGGAGAGGACGGAGCCGGAGAGGAGGGGGAGGCTGAGTTCCTGGCTGGCGTTCCCTAGCGGGAAGGAGATAAAAGCTCCGGACTGTTCTGAACCCCAGTTCCAACAGCACTGAACCCCAGTTCTGAGTGAGACCCTGGGGACCCAGACACATACAGAGGGAATCTGGGCTGTAAGGCAAAAGCTCAGGGGAGTGGCAAAAGGAAGAGCCCCCAAGTTGCGCACATTTCGCGCAGAGGACAGACTGTTGATTGAGCCGCTGGATTGCCCTAGCAGGAAGGAGACATAAGCTCCGGGCTGCTCTTAACCCCACTTCCAACTGCACTGAACCCCAGTTGTGGGCTCGTTAGGGGAGAGACTAGACTGTCTGATAGCGGGCGAAACTCTAGGGCACCTTTCTCTCAGAGGTGCTTGCAGCAAGTACCGAAGGACACTGAGGAACACTGAGACTCAGGAACCTCATAGGACGGGGCTAACTGGAAGCCAAGGCTGTAGGATCCACCCTGAAACTCAGCCCCATCCAAACTGAGAACAGAGGCTCTTGCAGTTTTCCAAGTCTAGTCGAATAAGGCTATCCCCTGGCATAGATACAGCTAATCCTCCCACCCTACCAACTAGGGAAGCAGCGAAAATGCCAAGACAAGGAAACAGATCACAAACAAAAAAAATGGAGGACAAAAAGTGACTGGATATAGAGTTCAAAACCACGCTTATAAGGTTTTTCAAGAATCTCCTAGAAAAGGACGATAAAATAAACCAAACATATGAAGATATGAAAAGGAATCAAATAATAAAGGATCAACTAGAAATAAAGAATACATTCTCTGAAATAATAAAGGATCAACTAGAAATAAAGAATACATTCTCTGAAATAAAAAATATTATAGAGTCCTAAATACAGAATGGAAGATTGCAAGAATCAAGTCAAAGATATGGAACACAAAGAGCCAGAGGACACTCCTCCGCAGAAGCAAGAAGACAAGAGAATCCAGAAAGTTGAAGATAGTGTAAGAAACCTCTGGGACAACTTCAAGCAAACCAACATCAGAATTATGAGCACCCCAGAAGATGACAGAGCAAGATACCGAAAACATACTAAAAGAAATAGTGACAGAAAACTTCCCCCACCTGGTGAAAGAAATAGACTTACAAGTCCAGGAAGCACACAGAAACACAAACAAAGGAATCCAAAGAGAACCACACCAAGACACATCATAATTAAAATGCCAAGAGCAAAAAACAAAGAGAGAATATCAAAAGCAGCAAGAGAAAAGCAGGTAGTGACCTATAAAGGAGCACCCATATGATTGTCAGCTGATTTCTCAACAGAAACCATGCAGGCCAGACAGGAATGGCAAGAAATATTCAAGGTCAGGAATAACAAGAACCTACAGCCAAAAATACTCTACCCAGCAAAGCTATCACTCAGAATCCAAGGCCAGATAAAAAGCTTCACAAATTAAAAAAAGCTAAAGGAGTTCATCACAGCCAAACCAGAATTATTTGAATTGCTGAAGGGGGTTCTTTAGGAAGAGGAAGAAAATAAAGATAAAAATTATGAACAACAAATATGTAACTATCAACAAGTGAATTTAAAAACCAAGGAAATTAAAAAATCTGATGAACAATATTAACTGGTGAATATAATAGAATCAGAGGTATGGAAGAGGAGTGAACTGACGATTCTCAGGGAAAAGGTGAGTGGGGGGTGTGGGAAGAGCCTGAATATAAACTGTGCACTTATGGATGAGGACAGTGGGGGGTGGGAAAAGGGCAGAGGGTGGGGTGGGAACCTGGTGGAGGGGAAAAAAACGAGAAACTTTTGTAATAATATGAACAATAAAGATTTATTTTAAAAAAATAAATTAATAACTATCTCTAAATCTTAAAACAAACAAAAAGCTCAGAAAGGCCAGGTAGCCTTTACTTTGCCTTGTAAAAGAAACATTGATCTTAAATTACTTTACACCAACATGTGGAAGATTTTATATCTTGGGCTCTCTCTACCAGTCCCTCTTATTTCATATTGACAATTGCTGTTTTTAAAGTAAATGGGAAGGGAGCAAAAAAGAGAAGGCAGGGAAACAAATCCGAAAACAAGGCAAGAGGACATGGAAATGACAAGGGCCCCAAGATTCACATCTAAAAAAAATGAACAGTATCAACCATTATAATCATTCATTTAACACTCAATTAGCATGTACCATATGAAAGATTCTACAAAACCTTCATGGAAAAAGATGTCAAATCAGTGAGTAAGTGAAAAATTGGGAACTATAATCCAATCAACCACATATGCTAAACTCCTGCAGATGCCTGTTCAAAACAGTATAGCCAAGGAACCCCAATTAGAAATCTCTCCTAGGGTGCCTGCTG